TAATATATTTAAATTCTACGTATGTCCTTTTTTCACTTCTTAGCTGTAACTCTTGCTTTGTTTTAATGGTTGCTTTTGCATGTACAACTTTAACTTATAACAGTCTACTTTCAAGGGCCATTATACCATTTCATGTATAGTGTAAGAACCTTAGAGTAGTGTACTTCCATTTCTCCTCTCCCAGCTTCTTTACTATCATTTGTCAAGCATTTTACTTTTATATATGTTATAAACCCCATAATACATTGTTCATTTTACTTCTGCCTGTAAGACATTCTTTAATATTTTTTCGTGCATGCCTTTTGGTTATGAATCAGCTGTCATTCATATAAAATATTATATGAATGGCAATGTTTTTATTTTGTCTTTTTTTACTGCTTTAAGATATAATTTACATACCATATTATTCGCCCACTTAAAGTGGACAATTCAATGTTTTTAGTACATTCATAGGATTGGGCAACTTTCATCACAGTTTTATTTTAGGACATTTTTATTCATCCCCCCCCCCCCAAAGGAAACTCATTAGCAGTTGTTTTAATTACCTCCTGTTCATTCTTTTGGTGAGGGTCCAACACACAACACCCAACACTGGACAGATGAGATAGACAGCAATTTACTGGTCATAAATACTCATAGCTCAAGGGAGGAGGAAACCGCATAACATACAGGGTCACAGGAGTGTTGCTCCTGGGAGCAAAATGAATAAACATGGGCTGTGAGAGGCAAGCTTTGTAATGACATGAGGATGAGGTGACCCTTGGTTCCCACCAGAGGATGTGATTGGCCTGTTTGAATAATTTTGGCTGTCAGGGGAGTGACATTTGTTAGGTTAAGAACCTGGTAGAATGCAGGTGGTACAGTTGATATCAGATCTGGCTGGATGGGGAACTTTTTCCAATGAATTGGGGGAGGGCATATCTGGTGAGGGCAAGGGCACTTGTGATTAGTCCTTTGGGGTCTCGTGAGGCAGGGATGTCAAGGTAGCACTTAATATTGAATATTAATTTTAGACCTTACACCACAGCAGTCAAACACCACCCCATTCCTCCATGACCCCTCCTCCAGCTCTTGGCAACCACAAATCCACTCTGTCTCTGGATTTGCCAAGTGTGGACATTTCATATAAATGTACTCAGACAATATGTGGTATTTTGTGTCTGATTTCTTTATCATGTTTTCAAGGGTCATCCATGTCACAGTATCTGATTTCTTTATCATGTTTTCAAGGGTCATCAGCACTTCACTCCATTTATTGTTGATTAGTGTTTTACTCTATGGTATATCACATTTTATTTATCCATTCCTCAGTTGATGGGTATTTGTGCTGTTTTCACTTTTGGCTCTTACGAATAATGCTGCTGTATACCTTTTTGTGCAAATATGTTTTCTTTTTGCTATATACCTAGCTTTTTCTTTGCTTTTTAAAGCTTTATTTTGCTGGCTATAAAATATTGGTTGAGAGTTTTTCTTTCACTGCTTTTAAGATGTTCCTCCACTGTCCTCTATTTTGTATTGTTTCTGATGAGAAATCAGCTGTCATTCATATCTTTATTTGAACACATGATATTTTGGGCTGTTTTTTAAGATTTTTTTTTATCATTAGTTTTAAGTAGTTTGATTGTGATATGCTTTGGTGTAGTTTTCTTCATCTTCTTGTCTTTAGGGTTTGTTGAGATTCTTGGATCTGTGGGTGGGGAAGCATGAGACTTGGTTGGAAAGCTTGTAAGGAGGATATTCCAAGAAAAGGGAAGTGTGTGGAAGGCCGCCTGCCCTGTTTATTGGAATTCCCACTTAAGGGAGACTTAGGGGAGTGTGGTTGGTGGTGCCCCTAATTATTCCTTGACCTTTCCAAACAAGTCTGTGCATATGCAGACCCCCAGGTGTTTACTGGAATCCTTATGCTTAATTCCCAGATGCCCTTTCCTAGAGTGCAATATAAACACATGTGTCCTCCCAAAATTACTCACCCTGAGTGTATCTAAAGATAAAAAAATCCAATAAAAGCCTAATGAGGCAGGCAATCGAGGCTGCCTGGTCACTTCGGCCAGGCCATCCCTTAGCCCAGGGGTGGGCAAACTTTTTGACTCGAGGGCCACAATGGGTTCTTAAACTGGACCGGAGGGCCGGAACAAAAGCATGGATGGAGTGTTTGT